AATGCATCGTTCGTTTCTTCTTCTCTGTTACAAATTTATTCGAATTTTTTTTGTAAAATATGAAGAAAAGATTTTTTACAAGTCACACTAAATGAGTTGCGCATTTTGCATCAATTTAAAATTGAATTTCTTCCACGGTTATATCTACCGTATATAAGTTATTTGGAAACGATTAAATACATCATAAAAAGTTGTAGATATTAAAAAATTGTTCTTACAAAAATTTTGCGGTCATTGTAATGCATTGTCCAAATGGAGAAATGTATACAGAAACAATTTCCTTACATCTTTCGAATTCCCTATGAAATATTTATTCGTTCCCTAATAAAACAGATATACCGTATATTAATACTTCAGCAAGCTCGGTAACCACACAAACTTGAACGAAAATGTAATTATATATATATATATATATTCATATCGAAATATTTTGCAGTAATGTATTAAATCTCTTACTTTTATACAAGACATAGAGTGCGCGAATTATCGTTCAGATTCAATATAAATAGATTACAGCAACATGTATACAATATTTAAAATTTTCAAAATATGCGCAATCGTTTCTTTTCTAGATATTTACATTTTGATACAGTTTTGCGAGTTTCTGAATAGTAGAATTCATCACCAATACACCTTTAAATTCACAATAATGCTTCATCTGATTTGAACAATGCGACGCACAATATTTTTATTTCATCGCTAAATATCTGCTGTAATCGAAATAAATAATTTACTTTATTCTATCCCAAACGTGTTCGTCTCTTCTACAGCCAATAAAAGCTTCTCATATAAAATTTCAGGTGTAGGATATGGTGGAAGATCCAAGCGATTAAAGCATGTATGAGCTCTAAAAAATATATCTCTTTTAAAAAATAGTATTATCTAATAGATACTACATTATGATTGTATATTTCAGTAATTCATTAGAAATTGTTGCAAAAATTATAATTAATTTACTAATAAATTAAGGCTACAATAGTAGTTTGTGTATACCTGGGTAAACTATTTGGCCTTCCCCATTTTTCAATGCAAAATTTCCGCGGTCCGGTGGATCCACGTAGGGCTGCAAATCCTTCGTATGGAATGCTTGACGTTCCAGTAACAAACTGTAGTAGTCTTAATCTTTGCTCATTTGTAAATCGACTTATACTGCTCCAAAACCATTCCACTACCGGATGAGCATCATGGTAACCGCTTCTATATTCTGTGTGCGTTCTCCAATCATTAAGATCTATTTCAGCAGCTCCCGCTATTACTAATTCCAGTTCACGCGCATCAAAAACTGATACCAATCGTGGATCAACAACTTCATAAAATCCACGAACCAATGACTCCGTTTGTTCTGCAACGCCGCGCTCGAGTCGCCAACGTACAACTCTTTCAAGGTATTCTTTTTTATTTTTTTCGGTGACAGCGATATTTCTACCTCCTGGTTTTAATTCACGTTCAGCCACTCGCCCCAATAGTTCCTCTGTTACCGAAAATGTTAATTCCAACGGTTCTATGCTTATGTCTTTCTCCTTGATCCACATTAAACTCTGGTGAAATTCTTGATCTAAGCTTTCTAAGTCGCTCAAGCTTGCCGGTATTCTCAAAAGAGCCTTGTAGAAAGGTCTCGTGAAAAAGGCATCAAGCAAATATTGATGAACCAGGGCTAGACCTAAAACTCTACCGGAAAATTTAAACCAATCGTGGTAATTGTCGACGAAAGCTGACATGGGTGACACTTGAACCGTGTAAGTGTCGTTGGCAGAATATTCGAACAATCCGTAATATGGATTGAAAAGCTCACGCGAGAGATGAAAGAAAAATTCGCGGGACGGTCCACCGTAGTCTAAACCTTCTTCATGATCGAACATAACGACTAGCTTGCCTTTCTGTAAGTCTTTTTTTGAAGCAGCCATTATGCGAGTAAAAGCATCTTCCAGAAGGTGTTCTCTTCTAATATGTAATCTGACAGAAGAAAATATTAGTTCAATGTAGAATGAAACTTATGAATGAAAAATTAATATTAATTTGAACTTACTTTAGTTTTCCTGGACCTTGCCCATACCCTTTACTTTCTAGCTTCCTGTAAAATGTTCTAAGTTTAGCTTCAAAATCTCTTCTGTATGGAGCTGGAGCTCTAGCAGAAGCTCTGGTTAAGCCAGGTGAAGCATGCGGACTACCTAGTGGAGATCTGCCCACGTTCCCAGGTACATAAGACATAATTTCTTGTTCAAATAAGCTGTAAAAATTAATTCAGTGTATTAATTAATCATATATCATTATTACTATTATTGTTAAAAATAACTAATGCTACTACTATATTTTGTACCTTAGTAATAGTGCGAGAGGTACATCATGACCTAATCGTTGTAAAGCAGTAGTGCCTTCATTTCGTATAGTATTTACTTTCTCTCTCAATGCAATGTTCTGTCCTAGCACTGAATGTCTTTCCTTTAAAATATCCATTATATTTGGCTGACGTAAGAAAGCAACAACTTTGTCATTATAAGCTACAGGTATATCAGGTGTGGTGGTAACAGCTGATTGTTGTGGTCTTGGCGGTGGTACGGGTGCTTCATCTAATAGCGTTCGTGCATGTGCTGCTTCTGTAGGCAATCTTGGATCAATGAAAGATGTGGCTTTTCTGGCATGACAAATGAAGAATTTCTGAAACAAGGATATTTAAGAAATATTCCGCCATCATAGATTTCTTATAATACAGTAAATAATTCAAAACTTGAACATATTTACTTTCCCTGTCCTATCGAGTTTTGATTCGTAGCCTCTGGGAAGCTCCTTATTCGGATCAGCAAAGAAATTTATTAAAGCAACCAAATCCCTATTATGCTCGTATCTTGGAAATACTGTCTTATCTCGCCTGATCCTATTAATCATATGTTTTAGGCTAGCATTGCGATTGTACCATTCCAATGCTTCTTCATTAGTATGTAATTCTGTAAAGAAGTCTGGTCTCGTTAAGAATAATACTGGAGGACTTGTATTAATGTCGAACGGCTCGGTCTCGTTTCTTTCCGATGATGGTCGTTCCGGTAGCGGTCGTTCAGCATTCTCAAAATTATTTCCGTTCGCGTGTTGCGAACTTGTCGGTTCACGATCAATGTTATCAGGTCGAGAAATGGTTCGACGAACGCTCTGATAACGTCGATCCAATTGCTGTCGTCGAAGATCACAACCTGTATTTCGCGTTGTTAAATTGGGCCTCTGCCAAGTAGTAGTACGGTTAATGTGATCTATATAGAATACCCGACCGTGGCTATCGATTCTTGCTTCCCAGCCTGCAGGAAAAATACGCTTAATAAATTGCTATGATAATATAATTAACAAAAATGTTTTTAAAATTTTACATGGAGGCAAAGGTTCTTCAGAGGGCAACGGTACGCTTGATTTTTGGCACATTGGTAATGGACGCAATAACTTCGGGTGATGGGTAGGTGTCGGAGGACATTCTAACTGATTCGTAGGTCCGGTTTCTGGTCGTTCCAGCGGTCTGTGGGCTCTTGGTAAACTCAATAGTGCTATACTTTTTGTAACAGCTGTCCGAGACTGAAATATTACATTAAATCATTAATAACTTTGCAAAGAGCCAATACTAAGCAAATCATTTATGAATGCTTATAATCGTAACAGCTATATTGAACGTTTTATGAAGAACATTACATGCAAATAAAAAAAAAGTCAGTTACAATTACCTTTGAATTAGAAGCTTCATCAACATCTACTATTTCAAATCCAAAGCAATCTTCAGGGTGCAAAGGTGCTGGGTACTTTTGAGAACACCGTTTAGGTAATTCTGGTGGGCCAGCATTGCTTCTGTGTAAAAGTTTGTGCATTGTCCGTGGTGGAAGTGGTGGAGGACTTGGGTATAATGTTTCATATAAACGTTCAGGTGATGAGAAGCCTCCTGTACTCCGCCATAATTGATAATATTCCACACCTTCTTTTGTTATAATACCATTTGTGTCACATGGCCTCTATAGAGAAACGTTATTTATGAATATTAATATAAAATGCAATAGTAATCATCTCAATATTCCTTTAATTAGGCTTTTGCTGATTCATTTGAAGGAGTGTAATACTAGACTACATTACGTTTTGAAATAAAAATTATAATGTATGTGCACACACAAAAGTGCAAAAAAGACATATGAAAACGTTCTAATGAATCTTATCCAATTTCTTAAGAAACTGTGACATGCTGAATTAATTACTATTATACACAATTAATAGTTTAGAAATATTAAATTGAAAGAAGCTACACCTTTTTGGTCCCATTACGACCTAAAACTGCCTGCTGTGATTCTGTATCAGAATTGCTTCCATCACTGCTATTTGAGGATCGATGTGGTTCCATTTCTAAGCTTTGAGCCCCTTCTAGACGTACTTGTTTGATGGAAGATGGTTCCAAAAGTGCTACAGCGTTTTCTTCAAGATCATTTTGTTGAGCACTGGCAGTTTCATGTAAATTCTCTAAAATTGGCAGTTTGAATGGTTTTCTTATCATCTCATTACAATGAACTAAGTCTGCCAAAGTGTTTTGACACGTTTGCACACTTTTAGATACATGGGAATATGAACTACCAGCTTCATTAAATCTGCTTAAATTTTCACTTGTACTCTTATTGTTACTCTCTGTTAAACTAAACGGTTTATGTGCATTTACAATATCATTACTATGTGCTTCACTTGTTGATGTGCTTTGGAACTGCGAGCGATCATCTGAACTACACGAGGCTAGACTTTCCAAGGGTAAACCATAACTTTTTGTACATGAACTCCTACTATTTTCATTGTATACATTATTACCAATATTGTTATGCTGGTCTCTTGTATTCTGTTCATATTGAGATTCCACACTGCTAGATTGTAAATCCCTGCTAAAAAACTGTTTTTTTCTCATCATATTTCTTGAAGATAAAGGTAATTGCTCCGAAGTGCTTGCTATATTTCCAGTATTGTTTTCAATGCTAGCTAGAAAGCACTTCTTTCTTGTTAAATTCTTATGAGACAATGAGGTAAGTCTTTGATTCGAGTTTTGTATGACTTCATTACTACATTTACTCGAACTGCTGCTGTTATCTTCAATTTGACCAACTAACATTGATGATGCAGAATCAGCAGGTTTCAAGACTGCATTTTCTTCATTACATTTTGATTCAGAACAGTTATTTTGTTCTTCAAAGGAGTTCAACATATTACCATCAGCTTTATTATTAACTACTTCTTGTTGACCAGAAGATGCTTCTGCTTGCTGTAAACCATTCTCAGTTTGCCTAGTATTTGTATCTAATGGCAAAGAAGCATTCTCACTTTGTCTTGCAAAATCATTCTCAATATCAGATGTAAATGCTGTATGATTATTTCTTATGGCATTTGTTTTCACATGTTTTACCGTTGATGGAGAATCCTGATTTGTTGTACTAACAGTTAATAGAGAAACACTCTGTTCTTCTGATTCATCCCCCCCATTATCCTTCTCAAAAGCTGCATCGCTAATGTTAACTTCAGATGGCATGTTTTAAAACATAATACCAATCACTTATTTCTTTTTATGTACTGCAAATGAAAATAAGATTAAAATGGCATAAAAATAATTCACAATTGAATTATTGAAAACATGCAATCTTGAAAGTCAAATAAAAGCTTATTGAAGAGGTATAAAATGAGTCATATTCTTTGCTTTCTTCTACATGTTCATTAGTCAAGTATATTTATATATACATGTATATAAAATAAAAACGACTTTTAACAGGTTCAAAATAATATTAATGGCACAGTGAAAAAAGTATGTCAATGAAAATGATCTACATTTAACATAACTTTTGATTACTCGAATATACTTTCATTCATTTGTACAGAATTTATTTCAAGCAATTTTCATACGGGACTACAGTTTAAGTTCAAACGGAGAATTTATAAACAACTTCTGCTTAAACCGTTTCAAATTGTTTACAAAAAAAGATTATATTATACACGTATATGAACGAGTCATTCCATACTTACAAGATGTGTAATGTAATTATACTTGTACTTCAAATTTCGAACACTTCAAATTCAATGCAACAAAATAATAATACAGACCGTTCATAATATTCGCTAATTACACAGAATTCATGACAGTAAACATGTCACACTTGATCCCTACAAGACTATGCTTACGGGGAATATAACTGTTAATGCTTTAAATTTGAGTGTTCGTCAGAAACGTCATATCACATAGAAATTTGGACATGTTATACGTTTTACCTGCATATGTTACATCTTTCCGAATATCTAATCCGAAACCCCCGGTAAAGACATTTTACGTCACATTTACATACTCATTTACTTGTCTCACTTATTACACGGATACATCGGGGAACGCGTTCATTTGACAGAATGATATAGCAGACTCTATCTGGTAACTTTTCATACTGTCATTTGTTCCGGTTTTTCCTGTGTATCTGCCGTGAGCATCTTATTGGTTGCTCACTACAAATTTCTCCAATCTTAAGGTGAACAAACAATAGAAGTGACGTCAGGGTTTGCTGTTTATGGGGAGTTTAACTAGGTTCTTCTCATTTTTTATGATTTCACCATAGATTTAAAAAGGAATATTTAAGCTAGATGTGTTGACCTACAGAGTGAATATTTTTCCATCTCATGCTAATTAAGTATGTGCCAAGAGCCACCAGAAATGTTAAAATTGTTTTTTACATTATATTATCCAATATATAATCCGAAATTGGTAGTTAACAATAGGATAAATGTTAGATATTCAAACGAGTCAATTATTAACAGAAGTAAATAGGAATAGTATATGTATTGATAGCCAATGAGAAATTCGTAAATGTCAACTGCACTTTGTACATCACAAATCAACTCCTAGATGGCAACCTCTTCGCTTTAAATGCATGGCGTATTGTTACTTCTGGTTCAACCTAACCTTTTCTGCCTGGTGCGTAACGAGGAACGGTATGTGATGTTGTTTGCAATCCGAAATCTTATCAAAAATCGTGTTAATAGTGAAAAATATATGTACAACATATTACTCTAAAGAAATAAACGAGATCGAGGCATACAATATTTTTTAAATTAATGTAATATTGTAATCACAATGTTGTTAAAACACCACGCGATACAGACGTGCAGTGTTGTCATACAATTTGTTTTCTGATTGAATATTAGATTAGTGTACATTGTATTTATGATTTTTGTTCCAGTTTTGTAACACATAACAAACGCCAAAATGGCTATTCGACCGGTATACAGGCCCACAATTGTTAAGAAGAGGACTAAGAAGTTCATTCGTCACCAAAGTGACCGATACAGTAAACTAAAGGTATTGTATTTTGTATAATGTTTACTGTAGATTATTCATACCGTGTTTTTAAATTTCTTTTAGTCATCATTTGAGTTAATTGCATTATATTCTATAAAATGAAATTAATATAATTTTGCAGAGAAACTGGCGTAAACCAAAAGGTATCGACAACAGAGTCCGTAGGCGTTTCAAGGGTCAGTATTTGATGCCCAATATTGGTTACGGAAGCAACAAGAAAACACGTCATATGCTACCAACTGGTTTCAGAAAAGTGTTGGTTCACAATGTTAAGGTAAGAATAATTAATTTAATATTCTTAATCTTCTTCGTAATGTAATAGTGTCACTGAATTACAACAAGATTTTCTTGGGGGTTTTCAGGAATTAGAGGTTTTAATGATGCAAAATAGGAAATTCTGCGCTGAAATTGCTCATGGTGTGAGTAGTAAAAAACGCAAAACTATCGTTGAACGTGCTCAGCAACTTTCCATTCGAGTCACTAATGCCAGTGCAAGATTACGTTCTCAAGAAAATGAATAAGACCTCATTCTTATTTGCTTTATTAATAAACTATTTACAGTACGTTTGTGAGTCTGAAATTTGTTTCTAATCCTTTATCTGAAGTAATACTTTCATCATTAATCTTATCAGAGTATATTTAATATATCCTTACTTAATATATATATATTTTAATATTTAAAATTATTCATTAATTTGTTCCAAACAGATCACAGTATACATATATAGACATTAGTAAAATTGAATTAAGAATTACGTTTGTTGAAACATATTACTAAATAATACATTTTCTTACATCTATAATGCTAACTGAGGACAAATAATTTTCTAGAATTAATGACAATGTATATCAAAATTTATCGATAACGTGATTTCTAAGTACACATTACATGAATATCCATTACATTGATTGTAATGTTTTTTTTTTTAAATATAAAATACAATGATGCTGGACCTACTTCTATGAAACTCAATGATCATGTAAATTGAGAATCTAGAAGTCTGTCTTTAGATACCTCTAGAATCAAAGGTAATTAAGAAAGACGTTGTTTAACAACTTTCAATAAAGTGATGGTTTACAACCAACACACGATACTGTGGTAAATTCAGTTCATAGCAAGCATATCAACTTGTATAAAAAGTGTATTCTATTTAGCTTGCTTCAAGCATCCTCTATCCCTCAAGAGACCATCCAGTGCCGCCTGATTATAATACACAACAAGGTCAGTCGACGCAACACCCTCGAATACCGCGTATACAGAAGGCTTCAAATTGTAAAAAATGAGGGGTTGACCTCTTAATGCAAAATCTCTTGTCAATGTTTCAATTACTGTGGCTGCAGTAAAATCTGCTCCATAAATATGCGTGCAGTCGATTACAACTGCCGTAGAAACGTTTCCACTACGTTGACTATATTTTGTTACTAAATTCCGTACGTAGTCTACCGACGGGAAAATTAAGCACCGGTCGGGTGTTAACATGAGATACTGAATGCCATGTCGGGTCTGTAACATATGTAACATAGCATAAATAACTTTCTCCTGAAACAATTTACGTTATCGAATCACAAGAATAATACTCAGGATACGTACTGTAAGCTTCTCCACTGATATTTTTGGACGAGCTGCATGGTATAGAATGAACATAATATTTATTCCGATACCGCATAGAATCCCAATTTCCAATTGCAATAATAAGCACGCAACGAAAGTTGCTACCCCCGGGATTAAATCCGACTCTACAAAAGAAGCATTGATATGAAGCAAAAGCTTTATCAAAGGGCTATTAATAATAAGTGGTTTAACGCATACTTTTTGTCCTCCACATTGGCTTTACAACTTTAACTTCCACCATAAATATTACAGCAGCTATGATAATGGCAGCTAACGTGGCTTTCGGTATGTAGCTGAAGTATGGTGTGAGAAATAGGAGAGCCAATATCACTAGAGTACCTACAAATTTAACGAATATGTCAAAAAGCTATTTTCAAGGAAATGAACGTTATTGATGCACTATTAAAAATTACCTGTGTACAGACCACCCATTGGAGTTCTAACTCCGGAAGCATTGTTCACAGCACTTCTGCTAAGAGATCCTGACCCAGGAAAAGCTTGAACGAACGAATTACCAATATTTGCTATTCCAATGGCTATCAGCTCTTGTGTTGCATCAACTGATTTTCCAGTTGCTGGAATAAATAATGCGATTTATATAATATGCGCTGTCGACGGGCAGAGATTCCTCTTCTGAAGGATGAACTTACAAAATGCTTTACAAATAGCAATGTCCTCCATTAATGAAATGAGCGGTAAAACCAGGATACCACTTCCCAAATTTGAAACCATGTCGACGAAAGTCACCGTTGTATTATCGCTTTTAATATACGAGAATGGTGGTAATTGTATGTTTGGCATACCCCCCGGTATGTATCCTATGAAAACATAATATTAGAATGAAAAAATTCTACAGAATCAATCCTACTGTTATTTTCTCTTACCAATCAATCTGAAGGGAGATCGATCGCTAAAACTGTATCCCAAAACGCCACAAATTATCACCAGAAACGCGTTCCGCGATGTGCCGATTAACCAAATGATTTTGTTTATAATGCGATATTTCGGAGTTTGTTGTTCCTCCTCCTTGGGTCCGATTTTGTACGCCACTAACAGCTGCAACAAGAATGAACCGAATATACCTTCGATGCTCGCGTTCGTAATGAACAATTACCGTACAAATTAAGATACGTTTCTTACTCTAAGAAGTAGCAGAAGTGCTATGCAACTTGCTCCAAGCGCAGCATCCCAAGCTGACGTTTTATGCAGCTGTCCAGCCATACTTTTCCACATTTCCACGAACTGCGATCCCTTGGCGGGAATGCCGAGGATGTCTTTCATTTGCGACGTGACGATTATCAGAGCTACCGCAGATGTAAAACCTGAGCTGACTGGTCCAGATACAAAATCAATTAAAAATCCTGAAACGACACGATTATTATTCAGAGAATCGATTTAAGGTAACCAGTAAAAATGAATGATATGGTATACCAACCAAGGCCAAATATGCCCATTATTAATTCTATCACTCCAGCTAAGAAACACGCCAATATTGCATGTTGTAACGGTGCATCGAGATGAGAGACGGTCTGGTAAGTAAGCAAGGATATGATTGCAGTTGGTCCAAAGGGTGTGTCTTTACAGGATCCAAAAATAATATAAATAAAACAGCCTAAAAAGCTACCGTACAATCCATGCTGTAACAATATAATGTCATCGATTAATATATATATATATATATATATCGTATATTATATATATAATCGTCCGAATTATGGAACATTATATATATTAATCGATATATACAAATAAATAAATATATATATATATATATATGCTATATAATAATATGCTATATATAATAATATATATTAATATTAATATAATATATATTATATATTTATAGCATATTTATAGCATTCATATATAAATATATATATATTTATACATATCGATTAATATATATAATGTTCCATAATTCGGACGATTAATAAATAACTGTTCCGCGTGATTTGTTCAAGCGAAATTGCCTAACCTGCGGGGGTACGTTCGCCACGTTAGCATAAGCTAACGATTGTGGGATCACAGTGAGTCCGACGGTGATGCCAGCGACAAGATCACCGACAAAATCTTGACTGCTGTACCTCGGTAACCAATTTAAAATCGGCAGCCTTTTGTAAATGGTTTTCTTCGTGCAGGCGGACCTCAAACGTCGCCTGGTGGATTGCGCCACCGAACTTAGGAGGCTGTGCTTCTTTTCGATCGCGTAATCCCCCGGATCTTCCACCACTGTGAAACGGAAACAAATTTATTGAGCACCGTGTGTTCGCTCGTTTCATAAATTCTATGCATGCAAATCGATCGTAAATGAATTAAGAAAAGGCCAATCATTGAAGCGCGTGTTAACTCAATGGAGAATCATGCACGTATCAAAGTTCAGTTTTGCACGAACAAATGCGAGAATATTGTCTCGACGATGTTGTCTACGTACGAACAATATAGATCTGAAAAATGATTTGTTTAGATCGTAACACACTTCGATTCGCGGTTCTTCATGAATCTTCATTGTAAAGTTTCGCGTCGATAGATCAGGGATATTTACATATAAAATCCGAGGAACCTTGTATGCCTTGGTGACTCTCGTAGGAGAGAATTTGGGAATTGCTCGAGTTGCTGTGATTCAAACTGTCTCCGAATCCGTTGAAACCATGATTTGTGTATACCTCGTGCCCATTGTGTTCATTTACAGCTCCCGTGCCGTTCGCTTTGCTCATCCTGTGAAGAAACAGTAATGAATAAATCACGTTCGATGAATTTTACAATTTTACTAATGCCGAAGTAATATTTTCAACGGAACCGGTTAACGTATTCGTTTGTTTTTCCACTCTTCGATGTTACTTGAATAACGCGCTAATTCCCTCCCTTTCTCTCTTTCTCGGCTAAAAAGAAAGTTTCGTCTTCGACGTGCCGCCGTGAAAAAAAAGTAAAGTCAAAAAGTTGCTTCTTCGTTCTCCATAAAAAGCTCGAACCCTAAAGTCGCTCCGAGTTTTAAGCTCGATCGTTAAATGTTCGCAAAGCCGTCGCCGCGTCGTATAATCGAACTTAATTTGTCGAAGCATGGCCGACATTTGTACCGCGGATTTATGGTATGATGAATAATCTCCTACTGACGAAGTTTTCATAGAGCATAGACGTTTCTCGAACGATTTCGATTAAACAGACCATTGGATGTACACATGAATCGTGGACGGCCGCACGTATGCAAGCGACGCTTTGATTCCTGACGTTATGGAACGAACGTCATCGATGAATGCCACATAGTACATTGCCCTAATTTGGTACGATGACGTTCGTCATAAGT